TGCTTGTTTTCACTTCATGAATCTTACCTTTTTTTTTGGAGACTAAGCAATACCCCAAAAGAGTCATTATCATGACCAATAACAATGGTCCTGCTACTGATCCTGAAAATAAATTGAAAAGATAAATTATTTAACAGGTTGATCTGACAAAGGATCTAATTGCAAAGAGGTAGTTTTGTGGTTTCTGTCCATGGCTACAAAAGCTAAATTTACAAGTATCAGGTGTGTCTGATATTCACATTTGATGACTCTCTTGTTGGATTTCAGTCTCCACCACTTCATAAAACTGAATTTTCCTGTCCTGAAAAGTAAGGACAGATTTTTGGCCTCAATCACAGCAGATCTCTCTCTAGGCTATCAACAGTTTGTTAAATACAAGGCCAGACACTCCAGAATGCTCCTAAACAGATATGCCTGCTGGATAGGTTGTGAACAGGAGAGAATACATCCAGACTTGTGAATGCTATGAGGACTTTTTGTCTTGGGAAAGGCTGCCCGAAGTCTCCAAAGACCTCTCACCAGGAGGTTTATGAAGTCAAGCTTGCCTCAGTCCAGAATCTAAGAGACAACCTTCTCTACCAGCTCCTTCATAGTAGCAATTCTCAGGAAATGCCTTGTATAATCTAGTTGGAGATTTTTAGATATATTTCCAGAATTACAAGGACTGCGGAATGCACCGGGGGAATGCAGATGCATTGGTAAATATTACACAACTCACTACAAGTAGTGTCACATTGAGTTAATTGAGCTGTTTTGAGCTTCTGCTTGGGTACAGGTAATTGGTCTTGCAAAGAAACTGAGAACTAAATATAAACTTACTTCCTAGCCAGAGAAAAATGACTTTAAATGAGTTAATAGCTCACCGATGATGTGAGACATGTCAGGTACAGAGTTTAAAATGACAGGTCTAGTTATTATTTCAGGTTTGTTGGAAACTGAGCTTTGGGTCAGGAACAGGTTCAAAATAGTGTGAGGTAGAACTGTGGCAACTGTTCCTGAGTCGCTGCAAACTGTGTCATTCATGCTGTTTCCAGGAATAGCCACTGATTTACAACTGCAGGAAACAAAAAGAGATGTTAGGACAGAAAGCAACCCTGTGCACAGTTAAAATTGCTATAAGAGAGAAACACTGACTTACACTGTATGTGGTATACAGCTGGTATCATAAGATTCCTCATGTGAAAAAGTGCCAGGAGGACATGGTTTACATTCTGTATCTGTGCTATCTGTCCCTTTAAAGAGAAGAAAAACTCCAGTTAGTGATCTAGTGAGAAACAGGAATGAACAATCAAGGTCTGTGGTACAGATCCTGGAAGTGATACAGAGGCAGTACACAAAATACAGTCTTTAACTGAGACAGAAGAGAGTAATTTGAAACACCCAACCCAAACACAAATCAGGAGATTAATCAGCTGTTAGTTTGATGTCCTTGATAGTCTTTTTCAAAGACTGTAAAAACCCACCAAAAGGTTAACATGTGGTACTGTAGACAGAGCAGAGCTTTTTCACTCGTCCCTGACAGGCTGACCACCTATTCCATTCTGTTGGAGTTCTGTATCTTTTCAAATGATTCTTAATTTCTTTAAAATATTCAGTGTTCCACATCTTTGAATATTGTTTATAATCTTGAGACAGCTATATTATCATCAGACTGGTGACTTTCATTATCTAGAAAGACAGATTAATTCCGCAGGACGGCGTAGAGTCATCATTACTTGCCGTAACACAAATTTGACCTGAAGCCCTGTTTCAAGGATTTAAGCAGGAATTACGTGGCCTTGCATCTGAGTGACTTCTATGGAAGAAATCACACAGTAGAGCAAAACAAAGGAAGAATAAGTTGGATTGGGGAACTTTATGATATATGGTAGAAACAGATTGCTACATGTTGTTCCTTTGGATATGCCTCTTGAGAATACTATTGCTGTAGTTAGTTACTAAGATAATGCACTAAAAAGAATGCATAACTGTAGGGAATTAAAAGACAATATTCCTGTAATTTACTGAGTTGGAGACAGATTCAAAAATATTTATGGCCTATTAATGCAAAAAATAACCCTCTTCTTACAGTAAAACTATTCTGCATGTGGAGTGTTCAGAATTAAATTACCTCTTCTGGAAACTCGGTAACCTTTTCCACATTTTTTGTGCACTTTACATATTTTGCAGTTCTCATAGATTTTCGAAATGCAGTATTCATTTGGTGGGCAGCTACAGATTCTGTCCTGTGACTTAGTGCATGTTTGATTCTGCACAAATCCTGGTTTTAGAACAAGAATAAAGCAAGATGTGATTAGCAACATTTAAAATCATGGCCTGCAATGTTTCAAGTGAATATGAGGTGATGTTCGCACACCACAAACTGAAGACAATTTTGCAGCTTGTGGCTAGTGTACCATCATAAAACAAATATATATGCCCCAACATCTACATTTTCAGAAGAGTTTCCACTCGGTCTCTAGGAGAGGAGAAATTTGCATGTGTAGAATTCACACTTGACACTCTGTACCTGCAGTTGCACTGTATTGTATCATAACCATAAATATGCACATTTGTGTTACCTGTGCTCATCACTGCAGTATCTGGGGGCCATACTAAGATTTGTAGTCTATGCAGATCATGCAACTGTATTTAAAGTGATTGGAGACCTTACTACAGACATTTTCATACTGTAATTAACCAGCTTTGTAGGTGTATCTATTTAGATGAGACTAAAGGTCATTTGAACAACTTATGCTCCCTTGGCTGGAGGGTATGAGCAGGAAGTTAGTCTGCTGATGACATTTGTACCTATTTTAGTGATGCGGTGCCTTAGTTTCCAAGAATGTAAGACTGGTGTCACATTTTAAGGACTGTCCTGATTTTGTCAGGGATAGAGTTAATTTTCTTCCTAGCAGCTGGTATAGTGCTGTGTTTTGGATTTAGGATGAGAATAATGTTGATAACACACTGATGTTTTTAGTTGTTGCCAAGCAGTCACAGACTTTTCAGCTTCTCATCCTGCCCCACCAATGAGAAGGTGGGGGGTGCCCAAGAAGCTGGGAGGGGACATGGCCAGGACAACTGACCCAAACTGGCCAAAGGGATATTCCATACCATATGAAGTCATGCTCCATATATAACTGGGAGGTTGGCCGGGAGATGGGGTAGCTTAGGACCTTGCTAGGCATTGGCTTCAGGTGGTGAGAAATTGTGCTGTTCATGACTTGTTTTATATATTATTATTATAATCATCATCTTCCTTTTCTGTCCTATTAAACTGTCTTTATCTCAACCCACAAGACTGCCTTTATATCAACCCATGAGTTTTTCTTTTTTTTTTTTTTTTTTCCATTTTCGATTCTCTCCCCCATCCCACTGGGAGGAGAGTGTGTGGTTGTTTTAGCTGCCGTCTGGGTTAAACCACGACAAGGATTTAGAAAGAAAAAGAGGGAGGGCCCTCTGCAAGACTTTCTTGATTCTTTTCCCCAAATCTTATGAGCACCAAAAGCACGAGAATGGGACTATACAAGTGACAAACAAAACCTCCTAGTTTTCTTAGGAGAAAAGACTAGGTTAAACCAAGCCCTCCCTTTGAGCAGGCTGTTAAAGTCACAAATGCCTCTTTAACAATGCAAGCCTACCTTTCCTGCAGGGTGGTGAGCAGGCAAAGCACTGAGGAGAGCGATTCCAGATTGCTGTATACGTGTTAGGTCTACAGGGACTGCACTTTGTGTCCACATTGTGACTGCAGCTCCCTGTCTTATATTGACCTATTAAAAAAAAACACACACAAAAAAAACCTCCAATAAAAAACCAAAACAAAACAGAGAAAGCATCTAATTGGGAAAGATCACTGTTTAAGGTAAATTTAATTCTTAGTTGTAGAAACCCTTTCCCTTTACTGGCACTATCAGATTGGTAACATATACCAAGCAAGAATTGATTTAAAGGAGCACTGCATGTATGTACAGGGTAACTCTAGTTTCTTTTGTTATTTGTGTTTGACCCCTTTTCCTACATTAGTTCAGTGAATTCCAGCCATGTTTAAAACAAGGCGGCCTCAATCCTGAACAAAACCCCTCAGCATATAGGTAGATGCAGCTACCACAGTACATAAAACAAACTTTTTCTCCTCATAGAAGCTGTGTTTTGTGGTGAAACACAGGACGGTGTTTCATGCTGAAAGTCAGGCATGTGCTAGAATGATGTGTCTGGGTGAGGCCATTACTACCTTTACAAGCATGAAGAAAGCATAATGAAGTATTACCACAAACAAACCTGAATTAGAACTTCACCACTTGTCACTACTGCAGGGACATGAGCTCGCTTTTTCCTTCATCTCTTCAGCCAGCCCTAACATCGCGAAGCAATGAGCTACTGAAGCTACTGGCATTCCAGACAAAATCAAAAGCTATCAAAGGTAGTTTCTCCAGTGCTTCTAACCAACAGCAGAGTCAGTGCAGTGGCGGGAGTAAGTAAATATGAGCTCCAACATATCCATTTTGGAGAAAGGAAAACAGCTCAGTTGCCATTTCCTCCTTGCTTGGAAGGAGGAACAAGGTAAAAGTCAATGTCTCATATCCTGTACAGAAATATCGTGGAAAATATACTCAGAAAGCAGGAATAACACTGAGAAAGCCTTTGGAGCTGCTTGGAGAAAGAAGGGGCCCTGGAGGTGAGCCATAGAAATTACTTCCAAAGACTTTGTTTTTCCATGTACTTACTTGAACCTTAGAATTCTGCCTCCCACATCCTGCTAATAATTTAGGCTTCAATTTTTGATAAATTACGGTAAAAAAATTCAAATTCATCATAACAAAAATAAAGATTTTAGACTTTCTACAACTTGTTGTCCAGAATTTGTTATTCTGAAAAATTAAAATTAAGGAGAAATAGACTGAACAGTAGATACCACAACAGAAAAAGGTTTTACCTATGAATTATCATCTTTCATCCGTTGTGTTTTTAACAAAGGAAGCCTGACAGATGTATCTAGACATTTTCGGTTAATTCAAGCAACTGTGGCTGCTTCAGCATATACTGATTTCCTGCTTCAACTTCCGGATCTCTCTGACAAGAACTCAGCATTTATGGAGACAAATTTTGTTTGCTCAGCATGTAATGAGACAAATAGACAGTTTTTTTGCTGTGTCTAATGTAAAAATACAATGACAACTTATTGTAAAAACTCTTATTATTAAAATACCCAAATGGTGTTACAGCCCTCCAAAAAAACCCGAAACCACACACCCACTTTTCTGCAGTCAACAACTTTTGCTAACAAAAGATCACTAATAATTATCACTGGAGTGTAAGACATGACACCTCAAAGAATACAGTTTCTGCAGTCTTGTACCCAGTCTCTGACAGCGGTCTGCAGTGTCTGAATTACAGTAAAAGACAATAAAATCCCCTTAATAAGCAATTATAGATTAACCTGTCCAATGGAAAGCCCCTTATATAATTGATATTATCCAAGTACAGAAACTAAGCTCTACCTCATGCCTTGTTTTACAATATATTTGTTACTAGTGGGCTTAGGTCTGACGTGTTGTCTAATTTTTGTAATTCCCTTAGTGACTGTTGCTCCCTTCCCTAAAAGTTGACTTAAAACACCATGCAAAGCTGTGCTTACAAGAGCTCAGCAGCCTACCTCCTGATAAGTCACAGCCAGGTTAACCTTGTAACAAAATTCTAATTCTGATGAATAGTGTGTCTCTCTTGCAGATATTTTTACAGTCACAGTATTTTATTGTCTTCCAGCTAGACAACAGCAAAACCTCAATGCTCTTAAGATGTATAAATAATAAAAATGTACTAGGCTTACCTGAAAATTGACTGAATTTGGCTGTGTAAAGTAATAGTTTGAATTATAACCTACCTGGAGGGCACTGGCTGCAACATTTATTAAGTTGTTCTTCATAGAATTCAGTGCTGGGATCTTTGCATTTTTCAAACTGTGGTGTATAAGGCAATGAATATTCCTAGGAGAAATTTAAGGAAAATCATGAGTCACAAGTACATTCTGACCTTAAAGTAGAGATTCAAAAGAGACAAACACTTAAAAATGAGCGCAATTATAACCACCTTCCTTTCCAAGACACTGATGTCAGCCTGATGAAACAGAAAGCAGCAGATGCCAAAAAAGTTGAAGGAGAACGCACAGCTTATAAGCTACTTGAGACCGTTTAGAGGTTCCTCTGTTTTTCAAAGATCTGTCACAATGAACAAAGTGATTTCTCCAGGTTTTATGTTCAAAAGAATGCAATGGAACTATGGGATCAGCATCACTACTGCATCCCCTAAACCAAAGGGTTAAGTACCTATTCTCAGTTGCCACAATTCAACCAACCTTTGACAAAATGCCAGTGAAACATAAATTCTTACCTGTGTGTTTGTGGGAAGAAGCATTTTCTGCAAAGTGGCTATATTAAAAATGATATCTTCTTAGTAGGTCTACTCCCTATACACGTTTAGAGCCCTATCTGAAAACAAGACGATTGACTTTGCTACTTATTAATTGCCTCAGGCCTCCTGAGCTGGTGGAACAGGGAGCTGTGGGTCTAGCACTACTGCAATGCTTGAAGGAATCTTTCTGTTTTCATCAGTGGGTGCAAAGGACACAGGACACTGAGTTCAATTCTCTACTGCGCTTACATTCATTACGCCCTTGCTTACACCCATGCAATATCCAGGCAAGATAACCTGTCCCTTCAGTCAAAGAACCTGCACTATTAGAACTGTTTCACCAAAGGAAAGGAAAAAAAGGCTTTTATCATTCCAGATACTTCGTGATTCCTTTCAGAATGAAAAAGGCCTTGATGTTTTGAAAACAATGTCTCCAAAAACTGCACTGCTGCTTCTGAAAAGGAGCAACTGGCTACAAGACTTAAATAAAAATAATAAACCTACCTCATATGTCAGGTCAAATGCATAAGAAACAGTCATGAAATACAGTGTACCTACTTTTCAGCTCATACCAATCAACACAGCTCAGTGACTTCAATGAACAAGTGTCAAAATATTTGAGGACCTGCCATCTGTTTTCAAAGGGAAAAATATAGTCACTCAAAAGAAAAAGGCTAATTTTAGGTAGCACAAGCGTAGGAGTTTCCTGCTACATCAGAAAGATGCTGTTCAAAAAGTATGTGACACTGCTCAATTTTCTGCAGTTTGAAAACATTGCTTCATGTACACTCTACACACATTTAGAGAAGTAATATAAAAGTATTATTAAAAAGAGAAATCAAAACAGGAACAAGCTCTTTGGAGGCCGGCAATGAAAATATCCTTCCTCCTTACTGAAAAAGCATGTTGATTATCTATTGTGTCTTCATATTCCTGACAAAGTAGATTAACACTTCCCACTCTCAACAATTACTTAAAGGGAATCCAACATGTTCTTATGCAGCTTGTTGAACTATTCTACCTCTTATCTAGTTGTATATTAGAAACAGGATTTCACCCATCTACTCAATGGTCAGTGTCAAAAATAACCTTTCCTGAGAATGTGAAGACAGAGAAAGGCCTTCTTGAGTTTCAATATTCATTCCAGAAAATAAAAAAAAAAAAGGCAAACCATTTAAGTAGAAGTTTCACTGCTCCTATTTAAAACACAGTGAAAGCTGGTAACACTGAGCAGACATCAGGACAATTCTGATCTCTTCTGATCAGACAGTTGAGTTAAAGACTGAAAACCAGGGAGATGGGATGAGTTTCACCAACACCAGCCTCATTCTCTCACAGTCAGATCAACAAGAAACAGTCAAGTTGCAAAATGAAGAGCAAACTTGTAAAGATGTTTTTAACAGGTTAGAAACTGTGATGGGGTGGGGAAGGATGAAAAAAAATATCTCCTTCTTAAACACTAGAGCAGGTGAAGTAAGAAACAGCTGCTGAGCACAAGCTGCATTTTTCAAATTCAGCCCGTTGTCTTTCAATGAGAAGATAGCCAGTTTTGCAGAAACCATGCTGCAGCCTCAAATATCTCCAAAATCTACTTTGCCTCCATTGTTGCTTTCCAGTTCAGGAGGCTTATTTAAAGGGAGCTTGCACAAGGACTGAAGATTTCAAAGCAGAACCAGGAGGCTGGCTTCAACATTATCAGTTTCATCATTATTAATGAGAATAATAACCATAATAATTCAAAAAAGAAAAACAAGGCTTTTTAATACCTTCTAAGTTCAGTAATAACTGTTAATACTGGACTTGGTATTACACCCTCATAGGATAGGCAATGATAAACCATACTATGACTAAAATCTGATTATGAAGAAGAAAAGGGCATTGCTCTCAAAAGTATTTTTTGTTTAAGTTACGTTCTTGTTTATTAAAAGAAGGATCAAGTGGTGTCGTCACGTTTTTGTAATCGCTATGATCAACTTCATTAAAACAAGCACTTGAGAATCTTTTTAAAACTTAAAACTTCACTGTAAGAGCAGACACAGGAAAAAAAAGGGGGGGGGGGGGGGAAAATACAATAAACCGCATCACAAACTATCCTGCTGGTGAGGCTTCCTGGCAAAAAATGTTCTTATCTCATCCTCTGCATTGTCTGTTGTAAATACTGCCCTGTGACTTAAAGACACAGGAAAACCTGTTGGTTGATGGGTTCACATCTATTTCTCTGAAGTTGTGCTTGAAAGGATATACCTACTGTCTGATACAATCTCCCTGAAATTTTATCTGATGAGCTGTGGCTCTTAATGACATACAATTGACAATTTCGTGCCAACTGTCCTCAAAGAACATGATGGGAAACTAAAAGGGACTTGTAACTCACTTGGATACACTTTATATACACACATGAGCTCAGCTTTGTTTGCACTGGGAGGATGCCATTAATTTCAGTAGTCAGTTCCAATGTAAACTAATTTAATCAAAGCTGTCAAGGCCAGCACTCAAATCTCTTACTACATCAGAGGAAGTGTAGGCCTCTTACCAGGTATAAAACTCTCCTGGATTTCTTGGCTACGAAAGGACCCCACTTTTTCTAGCCCTCTCGCCAATCTTAAGGTCTGAATTGGGCAGTACAATATTTTCTACCCTCAACAAAACCCTCTGGCATCCAGATCCATTGGCTACTTTGGGCTGAAAGGCTGATAAGTAGGGGTCAGATTCTATTCCACAATCTTTACTTTTTGTTACTGTTGGTATCTCTCATAAGACCTTATTTCGTCTTCTGCTTTTACTGTGAATCAATGGTCTGCAAGGAGATTGTGTGAAGGAAAACTAACCTCATGCTGCATCTTTTGCATTATAGCCTTAGAACTTTTCACATTAGGTAGTAGTGTCTAATGGCTGCAGACTTTTAAGATATTTATAAGGACAAAATGAAGACTTTGGAAGACTTTAATTTGACAGGTACAAGTACAAGTAAAATGCCTCATCTATCTAGTAACAGAAGCACAAACATTATTAAACATTAAATTTAGCCTAGCTGTATGCACATCAATCAAATTGAGCAATATATTTTGGCATAGAAATGGGTAAACTATGCTTGCCTTTGACTACACAACTCACTAGGGAGATTTTTGCAATGCCTTTGTATTAAGCAATAACTAAGAAGTTACATACAAAAAGGCAATTACTCAAGACTCTCTCTCCAGAGTCCCTGCACTGTTTGAATCATTTTCCCATCTGCAAGACAGACATCCAGTAGATAGGTGACCTAATTTGTGACTGGAGAGGAGTAAGCTAACAGCAGCCTCCATACCAACCTAGAGATTAGTACAGCCTCTTCTAAATACATATGCACAAGCACAAGTGTTTCCAAGATTCCCTATATCCTACCCGCTAGAAGATAAAACTAGTGGAAAACATGCCTTTATCTCATGATTTTCAGCCCTGCAGCTGTATCTGCGCTGTGTGGAGCCGCACCAGTGAAGGGAAAGGGCCTGCGGGCTGTCCCCTCCCACAGTCATACGGAGGGCAACCACAACTGAGACCCTAACGTCTGTAACAGCTGAGCCCCATTCATGAATGACAAAACAAGATTTGGATTCGGACTTCTTCGAAATTAGAAGGGCTTGATCCAATGCACCAACCTGGCTCTGCCTATTGGCGAGGAAGTCCAGGTCTCAACTACTCACAGCACATCACAATGTAATGCATTCCCTATGTGCTGAATACTAATTATAATGAACATAATTTCCTTTAATTCCTGCCTTACAACTTGTGCCTGTATTTTTTTACTTTACGTGTAATTAAATTTAAGCATCTTCAATAATAGAAATAAAATAGGCTAATATAATGTTATAATTCACATAACATTCAGTTTCACTCAAGGAGGCCATTTAAACAAAGATACTTAAGCCTGTCTCACATTTCTACATTTTTATTGGTCCCCTTTTCATACAGTTGCCTTCTTCAAATTCAAGCTGTCAAACAAAGGAGTCTGAACAGGAACTACATCTGGCATATAATGTTCTTTACGCATACGAAACCACAATGAAGTCACCAAGGATTCTGATGTAAAAATCTGTTGCTATGGAAAGGACTTGAGGTAAAGAGATACCATTTGCTGATCTACCAAATCTGCTGAAGACAGGAAAAAATAGAATTCTGTTTAAAATATTTAAACTGGTCATTTACAAAAATAATTGTGCTGAAGATTAGTTATCAGATAACAGCACGTCTCACCAAAACCAGTTGGAATCGTAGCAAGGTGTACCATCTATACTCAAACCATAAAGCTTCTTTTAAAGCTGCTTTCACACAAATATCTCTCTAAGATTATGGGTCCATTATGTGAATTGTCCACCCATCCTATACTGTATTGTACTTTTGTAAAGCAGGACTCCTTCCTTGCATAGCCACAGACAAACAGATTTACAACTCCACGTTCTCCCTCCCTGAGAAAACAGTATCCTTTTGCTTACTGTTAGGGATTCTACTTCATTGCCACTCACCACCATAATATGAAAACTTTTTCCCAGAATGAGATGGCAGGAGGCTGCAGAGAATATGGAAGCTATTCATAACATGCAAAAATTATAGAAACAAGTCAAATTTTGTAGGAAGGCGTGGTATATTTTATTATATATGTATTTGGAAAAACATTTTCAGGAATACCAGCTCTTCTGTTTCAAAACTTCAGGCTTATGTATCTGAAAGCTGGTCTGTTTTCCCAAAGGTTGCCCTAATAAAAGATACTATCCACTAAATCAAGATCTGACACTTGGAGTAACAGGCACTGCCAAAGCTGATAAGCCTTAAAAATCTACAATTTCCCTGTGGAAAGTGAAGATACTCAGCAAACAAGGGGTGAAAGCAAGAGGAATAACAGATTGCAGGTCTGAGAGGCAGAAAGTCAGATTGTATCCCCATCACTTGCCAGAGAAGAGCAGGTGATGAGCAAGTTCCCGAGAAAGGATCAGCAAGTCAGGACTGGCCATGTAGAGGTTTGACCTTACATGGAGACATCCTGGAAGATGCACCTAAGGGAGACAGGGTGCACCTATGATGGAGAGCAGAGCAGGAAAGGAGAAACTATGTGAGCCCCAAGTGTAAAGATGGCAGGTGAAGAACCTTCCCAAGATGGCCCAGGTGTACCAGCCAAAAACACTGCCATAGGGGATAACTGTCTTCTATCTAGGCTGAATGCCAGAATTGGCATCTTTCTGTTATTTTGAAACAAATCATTTTCTTGGGATGGTGCTGCT